TCTTCGGAAGGCCTCGGCCTCTGTGCCCTGTGTTACTGGCTCACTGGAGGAACCGGTTGGCCAGTGTGAGAGACAGGATGCTGGACTAGAGGGACCCTCACTGGTCTGATCCAGCAGGGCTCCTTTGGCACTTGTCAGTTAGCACTGCCATAGTTTTGGAATGTGTGGGGAGTGATCCTCCCTGGTACACTAGCGAAGGCTCCTGTCTGGCTTGTTATCTGTGTATGTGTTTTTGACCCTGATTTCCCAGCTGCTCCTGACCCACTGGGAACGAACGGCTCACTTTTCTCCCGCTCACTTTACTTTCGCGCGGGACATTTGCACAATGCTTATCGGCTTCTGCTTGTAAGGCGTGGTGGTGTTTTGAACCTACTATGACTTGGGGTGCCCTGCTGCTTTAGGCCATTCCTGACGAAGAACGTACACGTGTCGTAGTTAGGAACCACCAATAAACAGAATGCTTCTTATGAAGCGCTGTGTGGCGTGATCCGACTATCGAACCTGACGGCACCTTTAAGACCAACAAAATATAATTCTGGGTAAGGAACCGATAAAGTTTAATTCTGCACGCACGCAAAAGCTTATAGCCAGAATTAAACTTTGTTGGCCTTACAGGCAGGGGCCATTTCCTGCAGGAGCGCACAGGAGCGGAGCTCCGGCAGTAAAGAGCCCAGGGGGCGGGCACCTGCAACAAGCCCCACCCCCTGCTCCCAGCAGCCCTCAGTCAGAGCAAGAAGCAGCCAAGTAAGCTGCAGAGCCACCACCACCACCCCTGGTCCAAAACAGTCCAGTGGCACCTTTAAGACCACGTTTTATTCAGGTACAAGCTCTCCCTCCTCCGCGAGGACAGATCTGCATGTTCCTCCCCCCCCCAATAGCTAGCAATCCAAAACAGTCCAGTGGAGCCTGAGCGGTGGGTGTTGCCTTCTGACACACTTCCGGTGAGGTCAGGGGGTGTGGCATATGCAAATAAGTTATGCTAATGAGTTATGCTAATGAGCTTCTGCACCTCTTTTCCTACAAAATGTCCCCTGCTTAAAGGTGCCCCTGGACTCAAACTCTGTTCAGGTATCTGAAGCAGTGTGCACGCGCACAGAAGCCCACACCTTGAATAAAACGTCGTTGGTCTTGAAGGTGCCCCACTGGACTCCATCTTTGTGCCATTGCTTGAGACCAACACTGCTGCCCACTGGACTCTAGCACCAGCCAAAGGCTCTTGAGCGACGCAAGAATTTATGGGAAAGGCGCCACCGTCTCCACTGCTCTCCCTATCCTAACCATACCCAGCTGCCTTCTTCGCCCACGCCGAGTGCCCAGCGCACACACACCCCGAAAAAAATCTGGGAAAGTGTTCATTTCAGGGTTACGAATGGAGAAGGCAAAATCCATGCATGTTTCTTTGAGCTCCTCGGAAGGAGGACGGGACTAAGAGAAAGGCAGTGTGATCGAGATGGAGACTTTACCTTATGTCTCACGAAGGTGTCGAATTCCATTACGCTGAACCCAAGAGAGCCGTCCCCATAAAGAATCCAGACCTGGCAAGGAGGAAAAACGAGGTCCACTGTAGTAGCTGGGAACCACCGTTGGGGGGGGGTGTATGTGTGATATGGGAGCCCCCCCCCATTCCCCCCCCCCAAATGCCCCAGAGCTTCTCGACCGGTAGCCTGGAAGTGGACCCAAGAATGTGACATTATACAGTGATCTTTTTCAAGAGGGATACACTCCACCGGATCTCTTGATCTCTTAGTATGGCGCACTGACCTCAGACTCCGGTCGGCAGAGCTTGGCTCCCAAGGCAAACCCTCCGCCAACTCCCAAGGTCCCAAAAGCTCCTGGAATGAGAGGAGATAGTCAATCAGTACTGAGCTGTCTAGTTCACATTTCCTGTCCCAAGACAGCCAGCCAGTGTGATGTAGTGCTGATTCCCCGCTCCTCCTCCATATGAAGCCTGCTGGATGACCTTGGGCCGGTCCCAGTTCCTTCGGAGCTCTCTCAGCCCCGCCGCCTACCTCACAGGGTGCCTGTTGTGGGGAGAGGAAGGGAAGGCGATTGCAAGCTGCTTTGAGACCCCTTAAGATAGAGTGGAAAGTAGGGTATAAAACCCGACTTTTCTTGTTCTTCATTATCTAAAGCAGCCTCCTGTCTGGGGTTCGTCCAAGGCCCCCAAAGGGATGGGCACTCCTGCACAACCACCTCTAGGTGAGGCTTCCTCCATGACAGAATCGTTCTTGTAGCTCCAAAGATTTTCCTGATGTTCTATCCGTTCTCTCTTTGTACAAAATCAATAACTTGCCTCTTGCCCTATCTCCAGTCATCCTTTCTAGGATCCCATTACAAAGATGCGCTACAGCAAGGGCCCCCAATGGGCCACCACCCAGGGGTGCTGTGGCACCTGCCAAGTATTGTTTAGGGGGGGGGGAGAATTGGATTGATACCCCATGGCCCTTCACTATCCGAAGGAGTCTCAAAGCGGCTTGCAATCTCCTTTCCCTTCCCCTCCCCACAACAGACACCCTGTGAGGTAGGAGGGGCTGAGAGAGCTCTGAGAGAACTGCACTTGAGAGAACAGCTCTGACAGAACTATGGCTTGCCCAAGGTCATCCAGCAGCTGCATGTGGAGGAATGGGGAATCAAACCCAGTTCTCCCAGATTAGAGTCCGCGCACTTAACCACTACACCAAACTGGCAGTTCTGCAGTTGGTAGGAGGGAGGTGCTAGCTAGGCGGCTGTGGAATGCACACAGATTATAAAAGGATGTCCAAATAACCTGTTTGGTACTAAAGGTCTCTCTCTGCCAACCCAGATTGTTCAGTCCAACCTCACTCCTAACCGGACCAAGTGACCACACATGTGAACACATGAAGCTGCCTTCTATTGAATCAGACGCTCGGCCCATTAAAATCAGTATTGCCTACTCAGACCGGCAGCGGCTCTCCAGGGTCTCAGGCAGAGGTCTTTCCCATCACTTACTGCCTGATCTTTCTTAGCTGGAGATGCTGGGGACTGAACCTGGGACCTTCCGCATGCCAAGCAGAGGCTCTGCCAGTGTGAGCCACAGCCCCTCTTTACAGCTCTCCAGGGTCTCAGGCAGAGGTCCTTCCCATCACTTACTGCCTGGATCTTTCTTAGCTGGAGATGCCGGGGACTGAACCTGGGACCTTCCGCATGCCAAGCAGATGCTCTGCCAGCGTGAGCCACAGCCATAGAAACATTACCAGCCCATGCCCCACTCTTGCTGATACGTTACCTGGATCCAGCCAAGCCAGTGGACGAGTGGGCTGCACAATGTAGGCGGCGCTCCCCACGAAGTCTCCCCCGTCCACCACCAGCAGGCTGTCTTCAGGGAGCAGGCGATCCACGCGATGCAGCAGCTTCAGTGGGTTGAGGTACCGCTCCACCGGCTCCTCCGCCTTGTCGCTGTGGGGGGACAAGGGTCAGCGGCCGGCCACCACCAGGCACGCCCTCCGAGGAACACGCGGTGACCCAAGGGCAGAGCTAGCTAACAGCACCTGCGGGTCTTTCCAGAACTTCTTTAAAAAAAAATTTAAAACAGTTCTGTGTCTCCCTGCCCCTCGCATGATAACATCAAATCACAACAAGGTAAAAGAGCAGAATAAGCAAAAGCAGGATAAAAAGCATTATGCAAATTAAAACAATTAGAACAGCACCTGCTTAAAAATTGGGGTACAAGATTTAAAAAAACAAAAGACACCTGTGACGTCCTTGCTTATAGGGGAAACGGGTTTACCTTTAAACACTCTTTGCGTATATAAACTAGGTAGTTTTCTGATGTCACCAGGAATTTAAAAATTCCAAATCTCTCTCTTTTGGTAGTATGACCCAGGGTCTGGGCACTTCAGAGGACTATGTGACCCTGAGGAAGAACTGTACTGATATGCGAAGACAAAACTAAATAACAAGCTGTGGTGTCCTTGCTTATAGCATGTGTAATCATGTAGACTCTGGTTATACATGCAGGCATGAATGTCTAGGACAACCGGGAGAGTGCCATCCCTTGTGAGTTCTACAAGGTGCCTCGTAGCCCCTAAAAATTAATAAATGTATGTGTTATGGGGATCTGTTCTTCCTGGGACTTGCGTAGGTTACTGTGCATCTTGCCCATAAAAGGAGTCTCCCCTGTTCCCTCAACATGAAACTTGGACATGAGGAGGAAAAGATTTTAGTCTTTTCCCCGTGTACTCTCAAACTCCACTCTGACAGGCTTATACACTCATATATATAGCCTCACAGGCTAGTCTCTTTGTTTTATTCATACTGAATAGAACCAGAATTCCATAGTCACACAGACTATGTTCTCTCTTTAAGCTTCACACACAAGCACTTTGCCCTAGGAACATTCTTTCAGAGAATTTCTTGCAACTAAGTTATGAGACATCGGTGAATAATAATGAAATCTTTGATACCTACTTATTGAAATGACAGACCAAGAGTCGCTGCTTTCATCCACTTCCGGAAGACGAATAGTATTGAAACGATAGAACATTCCGGAGACCGTCGTCACACCATTTTCAACTGCCTTGCGCATTTATATGATTTTTGTACACTTTTTTTGTATTTATTTTGTGATTGTTTATTGAAATATTTTCTAGCGCAGTTACCTCACAGTTTCTTCTTTTTGCGGTCTGTTCTGTGACTGTGACCACCATTTTTGAGCCACGGACAGGCACAGCCATCAGAGCCCACTGGGAACTTCCATCTGCCTCCAGGGGCTGGGACCTTCGTACCATTAAAAACCTGCACAGTTTCTCACCTGTTTATTTTCTCCTTCACCCGGTCCGTCTCCTTCAGGCTCTGTGGCCACTCCTGGGGGCAGGAGTATCCCTTAAGGCCTTTGCTCAGCTCCACCAGGAAGGACCCCGCATCCCCTGTAGGAAAGAAATTCGAGAAGCCTGAAACACAGAAACCCGCGGCGGGGGGTGGGGGTGGAGGCGCAGCTTTCTCGTCTCTGCGAGCCCCTCTCTTCCAAACGCCGGGGCCTTCTCCCACACCAGAGATCCCGGTGGGCCACTGACCTTGAATGGCCAAGTGGGGTTTCCAGAACAAGCGTGCGTTCTTCAGCAGCTGCGCCCGGTCTCTGTTGACGGCAATGACCTTGCTACGCCTGCTCAGGACACGGCCAAAGGACAGGCGGAAATCACAGACGGTACCTGGAGAAAAGAGTTTGTGGGAACAATCAAAGGGACAGATATAGAATGGGAGGGACTTGGCTTGACAGCAGCACATGTGAAAGGGATCTAGGTGTTCTGGTTGATCACAAGCTAAACATGAGCCTGCAGTGCGATGTGACTGCGAAGAAAGCTAATGCAATCTTAGGATGCGTTCACAGAAGCGTTGTGTCCAGATCACGGGAGGTGGTAGTTCCGCTCTATTCTGCTGTGGTCAGGCCTCACCTGGAGGACTGTGTCCAGTTTTGGGCACCACATTTTAGGAAGGATGTTGACAAGCTCGAGCGTGTCCAGAAGAGGGCAACCAGGATGGTGAGAGGGTTGGGATCCAAGTCTTACGAGGAAAGGCTGAAAGAGCTGGGTATGTTTAGCCTGGGAAAGAGAAGGCTTAGAGGGGACATGATTGCAGTCTTCAAGTATCTGAAGGGCTGTCAGGTAGAAGACGGAGCAGATCTATTCTCTCTTGCTCCGGATTGCAAGACTAGATCTAATGGGTGGAAATGACAAGGGAGTCGATACTGGCTAAATATCAGGAGAAACTTCCTAACTGTCAGAGTGGTTGAGCCGTGGGAGGTGGTGGATGCTCCTTCACTGGACGTTTTCAAGCGGAGGCTGGACGACCATCTTTCGGGTATGTTGTAGGGCTATCTTTCGGCTGTGCTCCTGAAGAGTGCAGGGGGGTGGACTAGATGACCTGCAAGGCCCCTTCCCACTCTGACATTCTATGATTCTAAGTGAATCACTGTGTTCTTAGACACCTGTATAGCTACAGTGGGGCCGCTTGGGGCCCAGCCCCCGATTTACTGCCAAGGCCCACTGACTTCCCATCCAGACCAGCTCCCCCCCCCCCCCCCTCCCCTTTTTCTTTTTTATTTTTCACGCCTCTCTCTCTCGTGGCTGGCAAGCCCCGTGGTGCTCCCATGCCGTGCCAAACTTGTTTGGGAATGGAGGATGCACTGTTTATTCTGGCTGAAGAGTATGAGTGTGCGCGCCCCACGAGAAAAAAAAAAATTGCATAATGGGTGGCCCGTTCAGAAAAAAAAAAATCACCCCACAAACTGAAAAATCCTGGTTACGGCCCTGCCTATGTCAATACTTGCCCATCTCTGAACACCCCCCGCCCCCAACATCCCCAAATACGTCCACAGAAAGGCCCCTTTTCCTCACTGTCCCACCAATCAAAGAAGCTCGTCTGGTGGGCACACGAGGACAGGGCCTTTTCGGTGGTGGCAACCCCACAGTTATGGAACGACCTCCCCGAGGAGGTGCGCCTGGCCCCCCTCCCTTTTCACCTTTAGGAGGCAGCTGGAGACAGTTTGATTTAAGACTCCAGATTCCCAGAGTTTGAGTCCAGGGGCACCTTGAAGACCAGCAAAGTTTGATTCCAGAACTCTGTTAGCCTTCAAGGTGCCACTGGACTCGGACTTAGTTCTCATTCAGGACTGCGTTTGAGTGGTTTCGCATTTTTTAATTCATCGGCAGTCCTAATTGGAGTTTTTAAAATTGTGACCTTTTAGGGTTTTTTTTTTTAATTATTGCTGTTTTATTTACATGGTTTGTAATCTTTTTTAAAAATAGTAACTTTATTTACATCGTAAGACACCTCAAAAGTTCCACAGGGGAGGAAGGTTCTCAATAAATAAATGAAATGAAATGAAAATTCAGCCCGAGGCGCTCGGTTACCTGCCAGGATTACCACATCTGCCTCCCTGAGGGCCTCTTTGCGGTTCTGACGGATGTGCAGGGGGCTATCCTTTCCCAGCATGCCACGGGCCATGCCTCCCAAGAAGCACGGAATGCCCAGGCCTTCTAAAGCGGCTCTGCAAGGAAAGCGGAGGCCTCTGAGGACAAGGGGACCCACCAGCACCGGCAGAGGCCCCGCCAGCACTAACACAGACCCCAGCCTTCCCCTTTGGTTCCCCCTTCTTGCTTTGGCTACCCATTCACAGACTTCCTCCCCTAAGCGGCGACGGTGCGCTTCAGCCAGTAGCAGTCTACCACAAGGCCTAGTCACACATTCCAGTGCCACAGCCGAGATGAAGAGAGGGAGAGAGGAGATTGGATTTATACCCCGCCCTTCACCACCCAAAGGAATGTCAGAGCGGCCTTCCCTTTCCCACAGCAGACACTCTGTGAAGTAGGTGGGGCTGAGAGAGCTCTTTCGAGGACTGCTCTTGAGAGAACAGCTCTGAGAACACTTCTGACTGACCCAAGGTCACACCAGCAGCTGCACGTGGAGGAGGAGTGGGGAATCAAACTGAGAGCCAGTTTGGTGTAGTGGTTAAGTGCACGGACTCTAATCTGGGAGAACCGGGTTTGATTCCCCACTCTTCCACATGCAGCTGCTGGTGTGACCTTGGGTCAGTCACAAGTTCTCTCAGAGCTGTTCTCTCAAGGGCAGCTCTGCAGCGAGGGTGTCTGTTGTGGGGGGGGGAAGGGGAGGGAGTTCCTAAGCCACTCTGAGACTCCTCTGGGTAGTGAAGGGCGGGGTATGAATCCAATCTCCTCTTCTTCTTCTCCTCTTCCTCCCAGATTGGAGTCCGCGCTCCTAACCACGACACCAAACTGGCACTCAGTAGCACATGCAGACGGGATCTCTACAGAGGGACAGAATTGCAGGTGGGGCCTTCCTTAAACTGGTACTCAGTTGCACATGCAGATGGGATCTCTACAGAGGGACAGAATTGCAGGTGGGGCCTTCCTCGAACGCCTCTGAAGGCCACAGAGCACACCTCACCTGAGTACCTCTACCGGCGTTGGGGGCAAGGTCACCTGGCTGCTGAGGAGGATGACCGGCTTCTTGGCTCGGCTGACGAGCTCCACGCACTGCTGCACCTGCAAAGGGAACGAGGCTCGAGTGAGGGGCTGAGCTAGGATGGACCCCGGCTCTTCAGCAGCGACACTGTGTTGGGAGCAGGAGTGGGTCTGGTTCTCTACGGGGGGGGAGGAGGAGGAGGAGGAGGAAGAGAAGGAGGAGGAGGAAGAAGAGGAGGAGGAGGAGGAAGAGGAGGAAGAGGAGGAGGAAGAGGAAGAAGAAGAGGAGGAAGAGGAAGAAGAGGAGGAGGAAGAGGAAGAAGAGGAAGAGGAAGAGGAAGAAGAGGAAGAAGAGGAAGGAGGAGGAAGAAGAGGGAGGAGGAGGAGGAGGAGGAGGAGATTGGATTTATACCCCGCCCTTCACTTGGAGTCTCACTTACAAACTCCTTTCTTTTCCAAGAATTTAACTGTTACTGAATGGCTGTTCAAGGTGTGTGAATTTTGCTTAATGGACACACTTTCGGACTCTGTCCTGTCTGGACAAAAAGATCCTTTGCATTCGGATTTTACTTCAACATGGTTTCCTTTCTTGGAATACTTATCTAATCAAACTGAATATTCCTCTCTTTGGAACACATTAAACTTGATTTATTGATACACGCTTTGCATTGATTATTAAGTCTACTTTTCACAACGTGTTGTTATTGCTATTATTGTACTGATATTTGTATTCCTCAATTGCTCTCAGATGTTTTGAATTTGTATTGACTACTGTGGTATCTGTACTTGTTTATCAGCAATAAAATTTAAATGTTTCAAAAAAGAAAGAATGACTGATGACTGGGGGGGCGGGAATTATACTCTCTGCTTCCCACTCTCATTTTTTCAATTGAGCTCAGTTGGGTTTTGGACACAGTGGGCTTCCCCCTTGATGCCTTCTCTATTGAGTCTCACCTACCTGCTCCTTCGTGGCACGCGGCATCCTTACGGGCAGAGGTGAAATGTCCCTCGCCTCCCAAGCCCCAGAAAACAGGTTCGCCAGGTAGTTGCGCAGATACCTAGGTGAGGGAGGAAAGACGCCGTGGCCACTGAAACTGAGAAACTAACATGCACAGGAGAACGCAGTCCGCGGCGGAGAAGACACGGAAGTTCGGCTTCTGCTTTGCTGCCCAAACCATGAGCAGACACAGTAGTGCAGTCTGTCTGTAGCAGTACAAAGGAGCAAGAGTCCAGGAGCACCTTAAAGACTAAGACCATTGGTGGCCGGGGGGGGGGGGGGTTTGTGAGTCACGGCTCACTTCTTCATGAAAGCTCATTCCCTGCCACAATTTTTGCTAGTCTTTATGGTGCTACGGTGGCTCAAGTGGTTAAGACGCTGAACTGCAGGCTGTGGAAGGTCGGTAGTTCAGCAGTTCGAGACCCGAGTGCACCGCGTGACGGAGTGAGCTCCCGTCTCTAGTTCCAGCTCCTGCCAACCTAGCAGTTTGAAAGTAAGAAATTGCAAGTAGATAAATAGGGACCACTTCGGTGGGAAGGTACCAGCGTTCCGTGCGCCTTGGTGTTTAGTCATGCCGGCCACATGACCACGGACAGCGCGGGCTCTTCGGCTTTGAAACGGAGATGAGCACCGCAACCCTAGAGTCAGATTCGACTGGCTTTCGAGCAAGGGAACCTTTACCTTTAGTTATGGTGCTACTACACTCTTGCTCTTTTTCCACTGCCACAAAATATGAGCGCTTGCCTACCAACCAATCACTCAGAAGTCTGGATGTTTATGGACTTGCTGGCAGAAAAGGATAAAAAGCTGCCACCTTTAGGCAAAAATTCCCACCCACCTAGTGCAATAGGACAGGTTCAACTGAGAATGAAGGGTAAGCATCTCAATGGGGACTTGCCCGAGTTTGATAAAAATGCTATACATGACTTATTTGAAACCACTCTAGGTCTTCCGGGGAGACCGCACGATAGCAAGGCCCTCATTAGACCATCAAACAGCCCTGCATTTTATCCCACTAGAAAATCCGTTGATAAAACTTTATGTGCGCCATAACTGAAAGACAAAAGCCTATTAGAACAGGCAAAAAATGCACATGTGTGCAAGCTTTCAAGTTCTTTCATCAGCATGGGCGATCATAGCTTTGCTTCTCTGATTTTCTTTTCAAGTCATGCATGTACCTCCAAACTGTCCACAAGAACTGAGCAAACCTTTCTTTAGCACAAATTGTCCTTGCACAACCTAAGAGATTTAAGACAGAGTTTTTACGTTTGCTATACCAAACTAACAAAAGGCACAACAAATCTGTCTATGTCAGGGGTCCTCAATGCGGTGCCCGTGGGCACCATGCCGCCCACCAAGTGTTTTTAGAAAGTGGGCATGGCCAGGTGGGGCTTTTGCCCAGTAGGGTTTCTGACTGGGTGCTTGAGATATAAATGTCCATGCCAATTTCTTTTAAAGCTGTTTCTGCAGCCGCGGCACCACCACAGCGCAAGGATCTTCACTGTGGGAAGAAAGGGAAGGTGCACATATGCAAGAATACCCCCTTACTTGGGCTCTTTTTGTAGCAGGAACTCCTTTGCATATTAGGCGACACACCCCTAATGTAGCCAATCCTCCAAGAGTTTACAGAGCTCCTCTTACAGGGGCTACTGTAAGCTCTTGGAGGATTGGCTACATTGGGGGTGTGTCGCTTAATATGCAACGGAGTTCCTGCTACAAAAAGAGCCATCTATCTATCTATCTATCTATCTATCTATCTTTTTGTAGCAGGAACTCCTTTGCATATTAGGCGACACACCCCCTAATGTAGCCAATCCTCCAAGAGTTTACGGAGTTCTTCTCACAGGGGCTATTTTAAGCTCTACATTAGGGGTGTGTCACCTAATATGCAAAGGAGTTCCTGCTACAAAAGGAGCCCATTGATTCGATTGAACGGTTCTATCGCGCTTGTGATCCCCCGAGTCCCAGGGAGAAAAGTGGGCTACAGATGAAAATAAGCAAATAAGACCCCCCTGAATTGCTGCCTCCCCCCCAGAACAATGCACCAGATGCCAGCTTCGCTGACCGCTGCGTACTCCAGTAAACTCACCAGTTCACCAGTTTTCCCACCAGGCCCTTGGGAGCCTCCGCTTTCAAGATCTCCTTCTTGACCAGATGATAGGGGTACAAGACGTCCAGAGGGAACTCCACGAACACGGGACCTGCAAGACAGCAGCCGGGGCCTCTTCACACATCGGACTGCGCAGATGGGGGCCTGGGGTCCCCACCTTGTGCCTGACACGGAGCCATCGCATAAGGAGGGACACGCTCCCAAGAGCCCAGCTCACACTGAAAAGGGGCTTCCGCATTCTGCCTGGGCCATTTTCTCAAACGTCCAACGATGGGGTGGGTGGGGGAGTGCTGCTATTTGGGGGAAACCACGTGTCCCTGAAAATACATGTGGGCTCCCCCCAGCGGTACCCCCGGCTCTGAGGACTGTTTCAAGATGGGAAAACAGAAGAAGGGAAAAGGCTGAATTCCCTCTCAGGACGTGCAGCTAGACCAGGGACCCCTAGCATGGTCCCTGTAGGCGCTACAGTGCTTGCTGATATGTTTCCTGGCGCCCGCCAAGGGTCTCCAGAAAGTGGGCGGGACCAGGTGATGCTTTCGCCCAGCGAGGCTTCTGACTGGCTGTACAGATTTTTTTTTAAAATGTTGCTTTGATGCCTGCTGCTACCACAGTGAAGAAGAGAAGGAGAAATTGGATTTATACCCTGCCCTTCACTCAGAGTCTCGGGGTGGCTTACAATCTCCTTTCCCTCCCCCTTCCCACAACAGACACCCTGTGAGGGAGGCGGGGCTGAGAGAGCTCTCTTGAGAACTGCTCTTGAGAGAACAGCGCTGACAGAATTTATGACTGACCCAAGGTCACGCCAGCAGCTGCAAGTGGAGGAGGAGTGGGGAATCAACCCTGGGTCTCCCAGATCAGAGTCCGCACACTCAACCACTACACCAAACTGGCTCACTACACCAAACTGGCAAGAGAGAGGACCTCTTTGATCGCCAAACCAGAACATTTAAAAGCATTCCCCGACTGCGGTGCACCTCAACCGCTGATATTGTCTTATTCTGTCTGGCACCCCTCATTATTTGGGAGGGGGGAATCCCGTGTTCGAAACATGGGCTTCCTGTGGGTAGTCACCCCTCCCCCCCCAGCTGAGGGGCAAGCATCCCACCAAACCCAGAAAAGAAGCTACGGGACTTCTCCGCCCTCGACCGTGAAAACCTTGGACAGCCAGATATTAGATGCTGCAGCCTGAAGACCGCCCACGAGCCCCAGAAGTCCGAAACACAGGTTAAGAGACGGCTCTCCTTCTCCCGCTGAATCAGACGAGGTCGAGGGGGTTAACTGACCTCTAAGCACCACCACAGCCCAGAGGACAAAGAGATCCTGTGGGGCAAGCTGCTGTAACGCCCCCCCCCCTTCTGCTCCTGAGGAACTATCACCCAAGACTCCTCCACAAAAGGAACTTGCTTTTCTTGCACAGTCCTGCGACTGCCAGCAAAGCGTCTCTCGCCAAAGCAGGCTGAGTGGCACTCGGTGCTTCCGACAACAACTTGCTCCAAGGCTTTGGGTGTTCTCTGCCTGACATTCCGTCCACCTAAACAATCGCTCAGGGGAAAGAGACAGAACAGAGGACGCACTGGGCTCCCTCGTGCCCCCTGAGGCTTGATATCTGGCCTAGCCTAAGTGTGAGAACGGGAACACTGTCTTAAAAAACAAAGCTGGCGTCTAGTGCAGTGATCCCTCTAAGCTGAGTCAGTGTGAGCCAGCTCACAGTTTCTTAGCCTCCGGCTCACGCATTTTTGTCTCAGCTCAGGAAGGAGGGCTCCAGAGCAAACTAATTTATGCAGTAGCCAAATCGCTCGCTCACAACTTTAATACCAGGAGCTCACAGAGTAGAATTTTTGCTCGTAACACTCCACAGCTTAAGAGGGAGCATTGGTCTGTTGGCACCTTTAGGAACTTGGCAAAAACAAACAAGGCAGTGGACGACATGTCGTTATCTGCTCACAAAGGCCGAGGCGAGCCAAAACACTACGAGAGGCGTGCCGGCAGCCCTCTCAAATGGGAAGCTCCTCCCTTATGTCTCAAGGCACGTCCCCACTTGGTCACACACCTCCTTGAGAGCCAGCTTGGTGTAGTGGTTAAGAGCGCGGGCTCTAATCTGGGATAACTGGGTTTGATTTCCCACTCCTCCACATGCAGTCGCTGGGGGGGACGGGACTACCCACAGGAAGCCCATGTTTTGAACACGGGATTCCCCCCTCCCAAATAATGAGGGGTGCCAGACAGAATAAGACAATATCAGCGGTTGAGGTGCACCGCAGTCGGGGAATGCTTTTAAATGTTCTGGTTTGGCGATCAAAGAGGTCCTCTCTCTTGCCAGTTTGGTGTGGTGAGCCAGTTTGGTGTGGTGGTGAAATGTGCGGACTCTGATCTGGGAGACCCAGGGTTGATTCCCCACTCCTCCTCCACTTGCAGCTGCTGGCGTGACCTTGGGTCAGTCATAAATTCTTTCAGAGCTGTTCTCTCAAGGGCAGTCCTCAAGAGAGCTCACTCAGCCCCACCTACCTCACAAGCTGTCTGATGTGGGGAGAGGAGAGGAGATTGTAAGTCACTCTGAGACTCCTTCAGGTAGTGAAGGGAGGGATATAAGTCCAATACCTAGTTGGGCACACCAGATCCACTGGAAAATACAATCTATAGGTGTTCCCCTCAACTCTCTTCTTATGTTAACTGAAAGCCAAGCATACAGAACTGTGAAACAGAGACTCTGAGACACTGAACAACAAATTCTCTGTTCTCTAGCACGTAAGACACGCTCTCCCCTGGCGTCTGGCGTCACCCCTGATCACAGGGCATCTGTTGCTTACTTCTCACAGCTTAGTCCTCCTCAACTATGTTGAGCCCTCATGCTCGCTCGATTTAACGTCCTACTGGGAGATCTGCAAACATTCCCTATCACGAGCAAGGAGACCTGAATCGGTAGCTCGTATTTCACTCTATGGTGATTTTTATGAAAAACTGCAACGCTTCAGTCAGGAAACTTCTAGAGCCAGCTTTCAGGGATGGGGACGCCTCCCTCTTCCCAGGCACAGTCCAGATTGTGCATGCTGAAGAGGAGGAGCCTTCCCACTCAGTTCTTCCCAAAAAGGAACAGTGCATTAAGTTAAAGACACCAGTTCCGCCTGGCAGACCGCCAGGGGTCATTTCCTGCAGGAGCGCACAGGAGCGGAGCTCCGGCAGTAAAGAGCCTGGGGGGCGGGCACATGCAACAAGCCCCACCCCCTGCTCCCAGCAGCCCTCAGTCAGGGCAAGAAGCAGCCAGGTAAGTTGCAGAGCCCCCCCACCCCCAGTCCAAAACAGTCCAGTGGCACCTTTAAGACCAAGTTTTATTCAGGTACAAGCTCTCCCTCCTCTGCGAGGACAGAGCTGCACGTTCTCCCCCCCCCCAATAGCTAGCAATCCAAAACAGTCCAGTGGAGCCTGAGCAGTGGGTGTTGCCTTCTGACACACTTCCGGCGATGTCAGGGGGTGTGGCATATGCAAATAAGTTATGCTAATGAGTTGTGCTAGTGAGCCCCTGCACCCCTTTTTCTACAAAATGACCCCTGCAGACCGCCATGCTGCAACAGAAGTCCCAGTGCCTCGGGGCATGTGATTATAAGCGGCAAGAGTCGCCCAGAATATGGATGGGAGTTCTCCCCACTGACCCGTAGGCCCAAGGAAGCAAAAGGAACACACTGGCGCATGGTGACAGAGGGAAAGATGACATGGAGCTGTGAGGAGCCAGTCTGCAGAGGGAAACCTAGTTCTCTCTCACTGACAAGGATGCTCCGCAACTATCGCCATGCGCTTCTTGGAAACCCTCCAGGGACAGAGGCGAGATCACAGAGAATCACCGTGTACTAGTGCTGCTCAGTCTTCTACTGCCAGACAAATAAATCTGGGAAGCTGTAACCAAATGGAACCTGGGTGTTAAGTATGCATAAGAGTGATACAAGGGGAAAGGATTGTCACGCTTCTTGGATCTGACTGTAGGAGTATTTTGATTGTATCGTAACGCTCCCGGCCGATCAGGCGTATTTTCCTGTAGCTGTGAGCTCATACTAAGACGAGTTTAACTACTGCTGAAATCAGGTTGCATAAGGCTCGTCTTTGATCTCTGACAGCTAATTGAAACAGTGGCCAAAAAAAAAATAGATTCCTTGCCTTAATGAAAATTATGAGTTAAGTTTGTGTCAGACTCGGACTCTCGCTTGCCTGTCAGCTATGCTGCCATAATGGGTGGGGGTGGGGTGCTTGCTTGCCCTGTGTACCAAGCACCGCTGCATTCCTTCTTTGCTTCTGTAACGCTTGCTTATCTATGGCCTTGCCGGTGGTGTGTAGTGCCTGGGATTCAGGGAACCGTGGGAGCGCTTTCGGTTCTCAAGCTTTGGCTCTAACGGCCTAAGGCTCCTTCTCCCACGCACGGGAATGTGGCTAATTGGCCTAGGGAAGGGGGTGTGTGCATACGAATACCCTATATCCCAGTGATGGCGAACCTTTTAGAGACCGAGTGCCCAAACTGCGACCCAAAACCCACTTATTGATCGCAAAGTGCCAACACGGCAATTTAACCTGAATACTGAGGTTTTACTTTAGAAAAAACAACTCGTACATTAACTTAAGATGATCCAAACAAAGTAAGGAAAGCAATCCCAAATGGTTTCATTTACTTAAAATTATTTGGCAGAGAATTCGACACTTTAATGATGGTCTGGGCCTGGCTGGGGCGATGGCACGCGTGCCCACAGAGAGGGCTCTGAGTGCCACCTCTGGCACCCATGCCATAGGTTCGCCACCACTGCTATATCCCATTATGCTTGTAGGGGCGACGCCATTCCTAACAGTGACTTTGTTAATGCATCTATAGCTCTGCAATAAAGTATAACCTTTCTGATAAGCGTGTACTCAGTTGTTGGCTGTGGAACCTGACATTGCCATGGTTTGGGGGATGTGGGGCTTGCAGAGTGATGGCAATTCCTAAAGGCGGGGTGTGAGTGAGTGTGTGAATGGCTCTGTTGTCGTGGCGATGTAACTCTTCCTACGATACCTCCTTAGTCTGGAATGACCTTGGAGCCTGACTGCGCTTGCTAACCATATATTCACAGATGCGGGTGTAGAGCGCACGAAAGCTAGGCGGAAGGTTGTGGGGTGTGAATGGATGTAACTGAGGGGGGGGGCTGTTTGAACTGTCTATATCTTTGGTTTCTCCCGCCAGAACCCCAGTTCCGACATAGTACTGGTCTGGCCTGGAACATAACTATTTCTCAATAAACAAATCACTGCCAGAGAGTGTTGTTGAGAGTAATTGGGCCTCTTATCTTGCTTTAGAAAAGACAATGAGGACATCAGGTGTACTCTTAGACGCACGTGTTTGGTTCTTAACAGTGTATGACATAATCACTTATATAAATGATAAAAACACAATTATAATATAAGAGATTCGGAGTAAGATGACTGATATTCTTCTATAAAAATGCATTGTTGTGATGAGTATTTCTCTGGATGGAAGTTGCAGAAGAGATTAGGAGAGATTTCTCTGTGTATGACTTGGGTTTAGAGAAAATCCCTAAAAGGAGTCTTAAAACAATAACCCGAAAGCTGCTTTGCTTACTATAATATGGTGAAGATATAGGCTCATCAAATCTCGCAAAATCTTCGCAGAATCCGTGCCACGAGGATGGCGACGGGTGGATCATCAGCACCAAGGCTGAACAGATGAATGTGCAAGCCATAGTTCTGTCAGAGCAGTCCTCACGAGCAGTCCTCAAAAGAGCTCTCTCAGCCCCACCTACCTCACAGGATGTCTGTTGTGGGGAGGGGGAGGAGTTTGTCAGCCGCTCTGAGACTCCGAGTGAAGGGCGGGGTATAAATCCAATCTCTTCTTCTTCATATCCATTTTCCAGCTATCGTTTCAGAGGAAGGAAGGGCAACGCCCCAAAGAGTGGCCTGGAGCCAGAAAGACTGGTTGTGCCTTGCCTGTTCGGTAAAACTTCAGGCAGAGGATGCAAGGCTGTGTTGCTGGAACATCCAGATTCGAGTCCCAGAGCACCCTAGAGACCAATAACACTTCCGGGATATGAGTTTTCAAGAGTCAGCGATCCCTGACTCTCAAAAGCTGGTACCCGGAAAATCTCGTTGGGTCTTGAAGGCACAACTTGACTCAAATTGGGCTGTTCTACTACAGAGCAACACGGCTACCCTCTGAAAAGGGTCCACGTGCTGCTCTTCAAGCAAACTCTGATCATGGCCAGCCGATGAGTTTTCCACTGTACAGCAAACATGGTTTAAAGAAAGAAGGAGAGACTGGATTTATACTCAGAGTGGCTAACAAACTCCTTTCCCTTCCCCCTCCCCACGACACACACCCTGTGAGGTCGGTGGGGCTGAGAGAGCTCCTTTGAGGACTGCTCGTGAGAGAACAGCTCCGACAGAACTTGTGACTGACCCAAGGTCACCCAGCTGGCTGAATGTGGAGAAGTGGGGGATCAAACCCGGTTCTCCCAGATTACAGTCCACACTCCTAAACACTACACTGGCTCTCAAGAAGAAGAGGAAGGAGGAGGAGAAGATTGGATTTATACCCCCCCCCTTCGCTCAGAGCAGCTTATAATCTCCTTTCCCCTCCCCACAACAGACACCCTGTGAGACAGGTAGGGCTAAGAGAGCTCTGAGAGAACAGCTCTGAGAGAACTTGTGACTGACCCAAGGTCACCCAGCTGGCTGCATGTGGAGGCATGGGGAATCAAACCCGGTTCTCCCAGATTAGAGTCCACCGCACTTAACCAGCACACCAAACTGGCTAAAAGTTAGCTTCTGTGTCATTGGTGCGGGGCATTTAAGGACAACAAAATTAAAGAGGCATAGAAAAGATAAGAAAACTTGAGTTGAAAGAAGGAGGGGGGAAATGACTGTGTGTGCGCGTAAGAAAAACTAGCCCGCAGAGGAGTCCCTGAAGCCAACGTTACCGAGTGTTGCTGCTATAGTAGATGAAAATACTGAGTGGGTGACTGCAACTCCTCCCTCAGGCCTGCAAAGCTGAGAATACAGGGCGGGCCCCCTGCCAAACCAAAGCTCTGCGCAGGCACAAAGCCAGCCCCCCCCCACCCCCACAGGCGTGATGCATTCTTTTCTTTGGGGTGCTTTTACAACAGTGCCAAAAAGCTTTCACTTCCACCTTCCCCACTATTGATGAGAGACGAAGGTGGCAGGAAGGAAAGACACAGTCAGCCATTTTGTGGCTGCGACAGCAATGTCACGTGAAGAAGAGGAGATTGGATTTATACCCCCCGCCCTTCTCTACTCTAAGGAGCCTCAGAGCGGCTTACAGTCTCCTTTCCCTTCTCCTCCCCCGCAACGGACACCCTGTGAGGTAGGTGGGGCTGAGAGAGCTCTTTTGGGGACTGCTCCTGATCGAACAGCTCTGAGAGAACTTGTGACTGACCCAGGGTCACACCAGCAGCTGCAATGTGGAGGAGAAGTAGGGAATCTAACCCGGTTAAGAACGTAAGAGAAGGCATTGTTGGATCAGGCCAGTGACCCATCCAGTCCAACACTCTGTGTCACACAGTGGCCAAAAATACCAGGTGCCCTCAGGAGATCCAGCAGTGGTTCTCCCAGATTAGAGTCCACAGAGGAAATGTCAGAACTCACATTCAGGAATCACATTCCTTTTTCCCTTGTCCTGCATACCTACACCAAACTGACTACAAGCAGGGTCAAGCGGCACAGCCTCGCAGCAAGCCTGCAGCGTACCTGGCGTGTCGCTCTGAGCGATGGCGATGGCCTTCCGCAGCACGGGGACAATCTCCCGCACGGTCTTCACCGTGGCACAGAATTTGCAGAGCGGCTTAAAGAGTGACAGCTGGTCGATATCCTGGAGAGCCCCTTGCCCCTGGGGGGGAGGGGGAAGAGAAGAAAAGAGACCTCACTCATGCCCTCACCACCCTTGCCGCACACATACAGGCGGTCCAGCCCTCCAATGCACACATACGGTGCCCACCAGTCAGAGAGACACTGCCCGGGTCCAGTGTTTGAGGGGCAACGATGGAGAACAGGAAAAGACCAGATGAAGTCTGAATGCTTATTAAATCACTCATATCCCGCCTTTCCTCATGGTTCAGGGCAACTTATAATAATAGTTACAACTGTTTTCAGTGAGGACCAAAAATAAAATAAGGCAAAGGTTTCCCTTGCTCGAAAGCCAGTCGGATCCGACTCTAGGGGGCGGTGCTCATCTCCACTTCCAAGCCAAAGAAGCCAGCGCTGTCCGAAGACTTCTCCGTGGTCATGTGGCCAGCGTGACTAAACACCGAGGCACACGGAACGCTGTCACCTTCCCACCAAAGTGGTCCCTATTTATCTACTTGCAATTCCTTGCTTTCGAACTGCTAGGTTGGCAGGAGCTGGGGCCGGAGATGGGCGCTCACTCTGCCACGCGGCAACTCAGGTCTCAAACTGCTGAACTACCGACCTTCCAGTCTGCAGCTCAGCGTCTTAACCACTTGAGCCACTGCAGCCTAAAAATAAAATAGCAAACCCCAAATCTCCCCCTCCCTCCCCCCTTAAAAGATGTCTACCAATTCAACCCCCCTCCGAAGCCCAGGCAAACAGGCAGGCTTAGCATTACCTCCTCAAGATCTCCAAAGAGGGGATTCCTCCCCACCAAACCTCTCCAGGGAGCCCACCCCACAGAGCCAGAGGTGCAACGGAAAAGGCCTGGGCTCTGGTTGATGCCAGACAGGCCACCCTAAGTGGAAGGAGAGCCCACAGATGGCCGTCTGAGAACTGTATCTGGCACACAGGGACCTGTGGAAGGGGACAGTCCAAATGTGCGGGCCCTGCATCATGAAAGCCTTTAAAGGTCATGGCCAGCACCGTGAACTCAGCTCGGAAACAAATTGATGTAGCTGTTCCAAAATGGGCTTATGGATGTTCCGAGTTGCCTTCAAGGGTCGTCCCATGTAGAGCATATTGCAGCAATCCAACTGTGAGGTTACAGAAGCACGGATCAGACCACTCAGCAGCAGCCCCATAGCCATTGGGGGGGGCGTTAAATTTGGGGGCAATGCCCCCCCCACTGAAGAACACCGCCCCACAGACAAAAAAAATCTGGGGTTTTTTTTAGGGGGGGTTTCCAGAAAATGCACGATGCACATGGGGGTTCCAAAATTGTTAGAATTTCATCTGTTTTTATTGGAAAATTATTATTGTACGGCGCCTTGAGCCTGCTTGTTAGGCAAGGCAGGATAGAAATCGAATAAAATAAAATAAATAAAATAAAAATGACCCCAGGCACAATCAGGGAAGCTTCAGTCACATTTTTTTCCCTCCCGGGCCGAGAAAAAAAAAGGTTTTAAAAAATGCAAACAAAATAAAATGAAATTACAAAAAATAGAATAAAACTGCAAAATGCAAAAGAGACAGAGCTGGTGATCCCCCCCCCCAAAAAAAGTTTACATAGAAAAGCAACCCGGAATCGCTGCAGCAGAGCCAGAGCTGCTTTTTCTGCTGCTGCAAGAGGAACCAAAAAAAAGGGGGGGGAGCGAGTGTACAGTACAAGAAGCAAAACAAGAAACACCACTGATTGAAAATAAACAAGTATATAATAATCATATAAGCATAACATCAAGGATAATGTAAATCATTTGGCCAAGGTGCAGTAATGAAACATAAGAAGAAGCACCATCTATAGTCTTTCCATGTGTCTTGTTCCAGCATAGAAGCAAATATCAGTTATCAAAGTCCAAATTGAAGTATATATCATCATTGAAGTGTATATCATCGACGCGTAATCCGGATGCCTGATGCCACGTTTCGAATAATTCTTATTTAAGCATTGCTGTAATGGGACCCAATCTCAAGAGCTGGCATATACAAAGCCTGAATGGTTAGTCAAGAAGGACCCATAATCTTGGCCAAATGATTTACATTATCCTTGATGTTATGCTTATATGATTATTATATACTTGTTTATTTTCAGTCAGTGGTGTTTCTTGTTTTGCTGCGAGAGGAACAGCAGTGGTGGCTGCCCCCCCCCGATTTCCCCCATGCCCAGCTGCTCCTTCCGGCTCTGAATCCACAGCCAACAGCTGCAGGAGCCTACCTTCTGCAGTGTGGCAGCGGCCCCTCCGATCAACAGCACGGGAGACTCCGCCATCTGGGCGTTCTTCATAGCTGTCACGGTGTTCGTCACCCCTGGTCCTGCCGTCACGGCCGCCACTCCCACCGTCCCTGTGCCAGAAAAGAGGAGTCATGCCGTGCTCCCGGCCACCACCCGGCATCAACAACGGGCCCGGAAGGGATACCTGAGAGCCTGGCCATCGCATCCGCCGCAAACACGGCCGTCGCCTCGTGCCTTGTGTCCACCACGCGAATGCCCAGCTTCTCACTGGCCACCAGGATGGGGGAGATGTGTCCCCCCACCAGCGTGAAGACGTGGCGCACCCCGTGGGCTTTCAGCACTTCCGCCACACTCTCCCCGCCATGCCGAGGGCTCTGGGTGTTCACCTGAAACAAACACAGCCGCGTGGGTTAGCTGCTGCAGATTTTCCGGGTTGTCTGGCTGTGGTCTTAGCATTGTAGGACCTGACGTTTCGCCAGTCACTGTGACTGGCATCCTCAGAGGTATGACACAGAAAGATGGAGTGCTCTCAGAGAAGAAAAATGGTAGGCAGGTAATTTCTATCTACTCAGGAAGGTGGGGTAGGGCTGAGTCATTATCTTGTAGGAGTTCCCCAGGCTATGAACATGCTAATGGAGGAGCTTTCCTGAGGAGGTTTTTTTGTATGTGGATTGGCTGTTGAAATTCTAATCTTATCTGTAGAATGCTACTGTTTTTCAGGACAGGAAACCATGCCCTATTTATTTTTCAACTCTCTTCTTTCCTGTTGAAATTGTGTTTATGTTTATGAACTTTTATGCTTATGAATTTTAGTGGCTTCCCTGTGTAATTTAAAATGGTAATTGGAAGTGTTGTCCAGGCTTTCAGTATCTTGGAACAAAATACTGCGTCCTGTTTGCGATTGGCTTTTCAGGAAGAACACAACAAAAGGGTGGAAACAGGTTTAAGGTTTCACTCACAGTCTGTGACCAGAACATTAATCACAAACAATAAAATGGAAATGTAACATTTCCAGAAATACCGAAGCCACCCAGCATGGCGTGGGGGTGACTATTCAAAAACACCGGAGGGGGGCAAATATATGTAATACTTTTCTAGTAAACCCATTTTATGTGGATTTTAATTGTTATTTGTATGTTAATTCGTGTGAGCTGCCTTGAGCCTGCTTTGTGGGGAGGGTGGGATACAAATTAAATAATTAATTAAATAAAATAATGCTTTTGATGCTTTGATGATACTTTTGAAGATGCTTTGACGCTTTAGCACAAAATATGTCATTCATAACTTGAGTTTGCATATAAAACTGTACTATGGGCATATTTATAGGATTTGAAAGAATAAATGCTTCAAACCTCGCTTTGCTTAGTTTGCCATAGATGCAGGGGGAGGGGTG